GTGATGCGATGGCATGTGGCTTGCGCGGTGCTCATGTGACTTGTTGGCGTTGATGGCTGCGATGGATGTTTTGTGCTGAGGGGTGTGAGGGGTGGGAGTAGACATGTGTGTTTAAGTGTCGGTGGAGTAACGGATGGAGTGGTAAGCTGACTACGAGTTTGATACAGCGGATAGGAACAGTAGTTGCGAAGGTGTGAGGTAGAGACATTGCGTTAAGCCAACGTCATTCGAGTCTTTAAGAAATCTTGTAGTCTGCAAGAGTCTAAGGATTGCAATCTCTCTTATTTGATAAGAAGTACCTTTGCGGATGCAGTAGGATGTAGTGCGGGAGTGTTAGGTGGCTCGTGTCGCTCTGCGTTACCGCAACTTAGTTTGCAACTATACTCATGTGAATTCCTCCTGAGATTTCTTGTCGTATGTTGCTGCATACATGCTGCTAGAGCTTCAAGGTTTGATACTTCCTAACACGCTGTATACTTTTGACGGTGGAATGTTAGTGCAAAGTAAGCACAAGATATTGCTACACCCACTGCCGGCATGAGTGGTATGACGTCATCGTTCGCGTTCAGCCTTCCTCGTCTTGCGGTCCACCCCCATCCTATTTGCCTTCTCCTTCAGCTCAGCCATACCCTACTACATGCGAGTTCGCTTCAAACCATCGCGAATGATATCTTACGCGAACATGGCACGCGACACGCACTTCCAGATTCGCTCACCGGTGCACAGCAGGCCAGACATGACATCGAAGGCTTTGTGGCGCGGCAAGGCTGAGGTATTGGCTGTCATGCAGGCTTGGTGATTGCCTTGCGTTATGACCCCTCCTTGTTTTTATGCACCTTCCTCGTACTTCGCGCGTCTTTAGTAGCTCATGACCTTTTGTTTCTAAGCAGTTGCGCGAAGCATTCTCAGAACATAACCGATCCTTTTACTACGTCTGGCACGTGGGACAGGTGTAAACGGGCGCCGAGAAGTCTCATGGTATGGATACCATGGAGTTTCCGACAATGGCCTAGTATGTTACTTGTCCGCAAGACGTAAAGCTATGGAAGGTACAAAGAAATCTTCCGGGCGAGGAAGTAGGAGTAGACAAGGGTGCGTAGGCACAGAAAAGGCTACGCAATGTAGTGATACGTCTACTTCGAGTTTAGCAAAACACCTAGAAGAGACAATTACTAAGGAGCGAGGCGGATACTTTGCATTCGAGCTAACAAGATCCAACCTCCCGTAGCCATCGTAGTCCCCAACCATGCCCACGCCGCTTTCCTATCCATCTCAAATCTCCAGTGGTAATCACCAACACAAGATCTTCGCCACATTGCCACATCACGCCGGTACTAAATCCCCTTCGTTCACCTCATACTCATTGGCTCTAGGCACTGGGTTGTACTTTTTCTCGATAATGTACTTTGCGATCTCGCCCAGGGTGACGATGACTCGTAGTACGATGTAGATTACATCGTCGCCTTTGAGCTTGACGGTATCGCCCTCTTTGAACTGTTGAACACACGGTGGAGTTAGTATGTGGTAAAGTCTGTGCTTTGTGTGTGACGGAGTAGAGTGCGCTTGGTACGTACTTGAGGCATGGGTTTGTGAGATTTCGAGGGTATGGATGGGAATTGATGTGCTGGGTATGAGGTATCGTTTGGGTGGTCGAAATGAGGATTAATGTGTGATTTCGTTGGGGTTTCGGTGGCCTTCCAGCTTGCTTGTGACGGATGCTCTTGTTTATGTGCCACTGATTAGGCAGAGCCTCGTCGTCCTCCCATGACGTGCCATCAGGCAGTACGGCACCTCTCGAGATCAAGCTGCCGAAGGGATGCAATCAGGTGCCAACAAAGCCGTCGCTTCTGTGAAGCTTTGGCCTGCGACAGGCTCAAAGATGCATGCCTGCTACGCATGGGCTGCCTAGGTATGCATTGCCAGCAAAGTATTGCATGCAGTTTCTACTGGTACGGCGGCAGAGCCTACTGCGGAGTGACGGGTCATTAGTCGTTGTAGCACCATGGAGAAGATGGTTTAGCGAAAGAACGCAATCGCCATTGGAAGTTCCCATGGAAAAAAATATATGCACCCGCATTTGAACGATCCGGTGAGCTGCAAACGGCTGCATGCATGGGGTATACCATTCGTTGCGAATAAGACATAGCCTGCATGTAGGGGTCTCACGTAAGCGCCTGCATTCTTGGAACTAGCGTATGCCTTTTCCTCGTAACGATCTGTCGGTCTACGTGTGGGCGATACGAGTATCTGCACGATCTGTACCTAGTGATGCTAGCTTCTCTCTCAATATACGTGGAGGCTTCAACGGGTTGTTTTGAGAAGATCTCGTAAATGAATAATGACACATGATGTTGATCTGTAAAATCGTAGCAGAGACAGTCCGAAGGAAGGGTAAGATGGAAATGCGCACTGGCCCGTATTTCTGATCCTTCTTCCATTTCGTCTATGGCATCGGCTGTGATCTCAGCATGGTAAACCTGATACAATGGTTCAAACCAACTTCAATGTCCATCTTACCCATCCGAGATCTTGCCAGAGCGGATAAAGCCACTCTAAATCGTACTCTTCATGATAGACTCTCAGTCTCAATATCCCAACCCGCTGCGCAACATTGGCTTCACAATTGACCCAACTTAGCAGTAGTATATTAGCCCACTTCCACGAACTGGTCTGTTTCTCGGCGCTCAGAAACATGCAGAAGTCGAAAGGTACGGCCTCGTGCGAAAGACGCTGCAGTAAGTCCACCGCATCCTTGTGTCTACATTTTGGGTCGAGATGTTCCTCAGCTTCTCGATTTGGCGAATCGTTGCCTCCTGGCGTGTCGAGGCTCATTTCGTATAACAGATCGTCTGTTTGGGGGCCGATCTTGAATATATCCAATAGTTGACGGAACCCCTCGAGCATGACACATGCACCTTCTACGACGAGGTAAGATCCTTCGAGGACAGCACCGTAGATATTGCGCTCATCTTGCAACACCATATGGTGATCAACCAGCTTGAAGTCATAATCCCGAGCCCAGGTCTTCTCCGTTTCTTGCGTAGGCGTAGGTAGTAAGTTCAGTTCACAAGACCTTAAGGCGTAGAGCCGCACTCCGCCTATTACACCTGCCCAACTCCAGCTGGGGCCAGTGTATACGGGCGGCTTAGAGAGAGGACCTAGACGCCGATTCCAGCTCAAACTAGCCTTTAGATGTGCGCTCCAGATTCCGGCTAGATAATCTCCCAATTCACCATCTATATTCAGTATCCTTGCGACTCCAGCTATAGCGTGGAGCTTGTCCGTCGCCACGGTCAAACGCCGAGGTGAATATTGTGTGAGGCATCGATGCCACAAATTGAGTCTTTGCAAAGGTGCCCCAGAAGAATATGCTTCTGACACAGCGATTGCATCATAACGGAGGCCGCGAAATGGAAGACCTGTGTCACGTAATGCCCTCGTAACGAACGACTGGAGATGCAACTTTGAATAGGGGGTCAAAGCAATAGGGGTCTTCCGTTTGACTTCTTGTTCCGAAGCTTCGTATGCAAGTCCCTCTGCGCATTCCCAGATCATCTGCCTTTTCGTATAGTGCAAAATGCGGGGTGCCAGCATTCTCTCTTGCGCGGTCCAGCCACGACTACCCAAGACGGACTCTTCTATACCCCACTCCGTCTGGAGTAGGCTCTGACGCAAACAATACCGTTTGCGCTTCCCAAAGTGAACATTCTTGTAGGTCGCCAAGCAGTACTTCTTGGGCATACCCAATGTGGGCGAATAGAACGTTGATACATCCCGTTTTGTTAAGATTCCTTTACTACTATCCTCAGCAGAACATGCCGCGATCATGAGTGTCGACAATCCATAGTACGCCGCCATATTTCCTGCTTCTTGTGCCCAGTCTTCAGCACTGTCTTGGATGATACAGAGCGCATCGATCCAAAGGTAGCGAAAGCCTAGCCGCCGAGTGACATCAATCGCGTCTTTGAAGCTTCTGGGAAGCAGCTCAAGTTTCATTGCTTCCTGAAACTGGACAAGCGAGTCTTTGGTGAGTCGGCTGATTCCCTTACTACCCCAACAGTGGGATAATATCACGTATTGGCCTGTTTCACCGAAGGTCGCTCGTAGTCTAGGCGACGCGGAAGGATCAGCAGGAATCTCGATGATTCGTTTCGGCAGTGCGACCGACGCTGGGAAAGAGCACTGAGCATGTGTCTTGCACTGGCGTATCCATTTAGCAACTAATTCGAAGCAACTGCTATCACGTGGATCTGGGTGAGGCAGTGGTCGCTTGCGAAAGACAAGGTCGCCTGGACGATGCTGCATTAATACCGTAATCGCGTTTGATTGACATCCGACAACGCACCTAACTTTCCTTTTTCGACACATACATCGAAGCGTAGGTCGCCATCGTATATGCGCTCAATAGGTCCAAGTGAAGCATTCGCGTATAGATGCCTGCAGTGAAAGACAATAATACGGTCCGATAATTCGGACACTCGCTTACGCCAGCGATTCGAGTTTTGCAATGCGTTACAGAAGAATTTGCAGCCACCGCAACCGCCGCACCCGGGCCCAAGGCTAATCGATCTAACAAGCAGCTCGTCAAAAGTACCAAGGATCTGTTTCTCAAGATAAGACGGATTCATTTCGAGTTGTGAGCAAACCTCGCATAATTGCTTGGTCATCTTCTAACGGCAGGTCGTTGACGAAAAGGGCCTCAATATGGATTGCTGTGTGAAGAGATTCAAAGGTCTGGGTACTTTCTCGTTGTGCGGGGTAAGATTGTGGCGCGGATCACACGTCCACGTGATTCCAGATCGTTGCCTTGAGACAGCCATGGGTATAGCACTCATGCCAGCTCAAGCTCAATCAACGAATCCAAACTACATGTGTGAACATATATAACTGCCATCAGAAAGCTTCCGTCTGACGTGCTGCCGATGGCATTTGGATACGGGTCTGTTAGGCTGCGAGTGACGCTAAAAGACCACTGTTTTTGACTCTCCACATCTCTATCCTCAACTCCCCGGGCTCCAAGGCTGTCCAATGGCCTTCCTGAACCCCCCTTCAAACACATCAATCGTCTGATTCATATTCATCCCACTCGCAATTGCCAGCTGCAACATTATCCGCGCTTGAATAGGATGCACAAAGCCTGACTTTGCAAACGAAGGTGTTCGCGCTGGACTCGACGGCCCATGCGGACTGCGGGTTCCAACAACGACTTGAAGCCCTTTCTCCATCGCCTCTGCAATCTCGTCTCCGCCATTCGGCACACCGCCATTTCCAGTCCCAGCAATAACAACACCGTCCGCGCCGTTGGCGTGCGCATCCAGTACCAACTTCCCATCAAACTCGCGGGCCGCGTACAGTATATCCACCTTGGGCAACGTCGGATACGTCGGATACGCACTCACAGTCGCAACATCGAAATAGTACTTCCACAGCGGCTGACTCGGCGTATTGAAGAAAACCGGTAAACTGTTAATGAAGATGCCCAAATCACCACCAGACGTAGGACCAAAAGCATCCGGATTGGTCGAATGCAACTTCGTTACCCAATACCCAGGTATGATGCGTGCGTTGAACGCTACCATGAGTCCTCTATTCCGCGACTCGGGACTCGCAGCTAGCATAACTGCGTCGAAGAAATTCGCTTCTCCGTCCCAGGAGAGGTGGGTGAAGGGTCGCATACTGCCTGTCCCGACGATGGGCTTCCCGCAGTTGATCAGTGAGTCCATGAGGAATGCTGTTTCTTCGAGCGAATTCGTGCCGTGCGTGTATACTGCGCCTACGATGTCGCTGTCTGGTGAACAGAGCGCGTCGTGTGCGAAGCGCGTCATGTTCATGACTAAAGCGTCGTTTGTGCCGGTGGAGCCATCGTCTTCTGTGGTCCAGTTGGACACGGCGAGTTGCGTGTTGTTGAGCAGGTACGGGTTGCGTGCTATGATGTCTTCGCCGGTTTGGCTGAGCTGCCCGTATTGCGTGTCGTCAAGCGCGCCGTAGATGGAGCCGCCGGCTATGGTACCGCCGGTGAAGAGGACGCTGTCGGCGGTTTAGATGGGGATGTGGATGTTGAGATTTTGCGTTGCACGTACAGGACTTTGGGGAGGCTGCTGTTACCGCCTAGCCATGTTAGACCGAGTCGTTCGCTAGCGGTTGTTGCTTGACGTGGTTGGGACGCTGTGGGTGCGGCGTTGCCGGCCACGCTTAAAGAAGCAGCAATTACAAAATCACAGAACCGCATAATGGTTGACTATCAACAATCAAAAGACTCAATGATTCACATATTGTACTACCTGAACCTTTATACTCCCGCCCATCCCACTCTTGCCGTCGCCCAACTCCTCCGCTTACATCCGCGGGCATTTTGATCTGACATATCGCCGGTTACGAGCCGTCTTTTGACATGCAGCATTACGACATCGTACATGCTACATACTTGGCGATGCTTCTATGAGGAAGGTGTGAAGTCCACGTTGTGAGTGGTGATGGAGTTGTTATCGTTCCTGCGTTATCGTCGAGAGATGGGCGAAGCTAGGCTGTATCAGGGGCTGGGCAAGGCCCCACGTTTGCCAAGAGCGGGGTCGGTAACCAGAGACCTCGTTGCGCCCTCTCGTACTAACGAGAACGTCGGAAATTCCAAGGTCTGCTGTTAACACGACCTAGACCGAGTAGGAGATGAAGTTAGGGCGCTGCGAAGACTAGGTTATTTCCGGGTCTCTCAACAATCCGAGAGGCGCCCGATTGGAAGTTACGCGCAAGCTATCGGCATCACTTCGAGACAACTGGACAGCCTTGAAGTCCGGACAGTGGAGGATAGATACGTGTTGTTAGATATATAATATGAGTGAGATGGTAAGAGAAATGTTGAATGAGATCTGACCCTCCCATCCCACGCCTTCCAGACTCTTGGTCTAGATCACAACTCTATCTCCTTTACACCCGGGTTCCCAGGAGGAATACTCACGTGCGAACTCACTTATCCTCCTCCCACCACCTACTCCCATCCCACCCCTTCCCGGCACTCTTCCCCTTCCCATCCTTCTCACTCTCATGCTTATGAAAAAACGCAAACTCCTTTCCAATATCACTCAACCCATCACCCGCATCGTTGACCAGCATGCCCTTGCCCGGTCTCGCCATGAAGTACGCATAACGATGGATATCCTGCGAATTATCCATCCACGGCATGACGTCGTCGAGGAAGGCCCTGATCTCGTCGTCGGTACCCTCGGCGCGGAACTCGGTGACCCAGATGGGGAGGCCTTTGGCGACTTTGCGCGCGTTGGCGATGTGGTCTTTGAAGTTTTGGGCGGAGTTGGGGAGGGTGTTGTACCTAGGGGGATTAGTGAGTGGGTGTGTTGGTTGGGGGGGGGGGATGGAAGGGGGAGAGTGAGAGGGAAGGAGATGAGTGACGTACCAGTGGATGTTGATAAAGTCAATGGTACATCCATCACACGCTTCCAGGAACTTGGCCAGCCAACCCAGACCCGTGGTATCAGAGGCCGCGGCATTGGTAACAGCCGGTGAACCGAGATACATCGCGCTGTTGAAGTTGGAGAGCGGTTCCATGTGTTTCTTCCAACCTGCAACGGCGGTGGGGACGTCGATACAAGACCCGCCTGCGTCAGGACTTTTACTATAATCAGCACCACCTCAAACAACTCCACCTATTCTCACCGAAACCAAAGACTGTACTTACATGCAGTTATCCGGCTCATTAAACCCCATCAACCACGTCGCAAACCCATTATCCTCGAAATTCTTCCTCGCCATCGCCTCGGCATTGTCTTTCCACCTTCCCGTATGATCGTCCCTGAGTGAATGCAGCATGGGGATGAAGCGGAACCAGGCAGGTGAGAGGGCAGACGAGGAGTCCCAGTTGAAGCGCCAGGTGACGTGGGTTCCGTCGCCTTGGAAGAGCTTGTTGTAGGCGACGTCGTTGTAGGCTACGCCGCGGCGTTCGTGGGCGGGGGTTTGGGTGAGGGGATCGTGTTTGGGCTTGCTGCCTTGGGTGTCGGCGGGGGTGTCGGAGGGGAGGGCGAGGGGGGTCGCGGTGGTGAGGATGGAGAGTAGGAAGACGAGGATTAGGGCGAGGAGTTTCATGATGGGCGAGGAGATTGAGGTAGAGACTGGGTGGAGAGAGAGAGTGGTGAGCTTGGGGCAATCGATGGTATTGAATGGTGGTGTGAAATTGACGCCTAGGTAGTGCGTGAGTGAATCTTGTGAAGGGGTTCTGTGAGAGAATGTGGAGGAGTAGATATATGAGTATATGAGCAGATTATAGGTCCTTGGATCACGCTCGCCGGCCTAGCGCTGATAACGCCTTCGTAGAGGTAAAGTTGGGAACTTTGACAAACGCTTGAAGTAGAGCTCGGTCACGACCCGGGTGAGTAGTCGAAATGATTGACCTAGAGAAGTCAGGCTTCACTGGCGGGCGGTGCGAAGGCGGTGGATGCAATCAGAAGACTACCAATGCGATCGTTCGCGGTGATTAGGCCAAGACATGGGGGTTAGAATGTAATTCGCTCGTTTGCTGGAAGTCGCGAAATGACATTGTTGAGTGGAAGACAACGGGCCGCTATGTCTCCTTCACCTCACTAGCGCTTCAGCAGTCTAGCTCGATGGCCGCTATTGGCGGCGCATGCGGAGTAAAACGTGAACCCGCGGTGTTTGATCAAAGAAAGCGTGCGTGCGAAGAGTCATCGAGACGTCCAAATATTGGTATACACATGAAGTATATGATACATAGCTCAGTACTGAGCCTACATCTTACCACCAGTAAGCTCCTCGGCCACCTTCTTGACGCGCTCTTTGGCAAGGCCAACACCCTCGCCGCCCTTGAGCTTGTTGAGCATGTCGCCGACACCCTCTGGTAGCGGTCCATCCCATGGGCTGAGACCGTTCCTGCCGTCTTCTCTTGGGCCCATGACACCCCTGGCGTCCCAAGCGACAGGCTGCTCATCAGACCCAAAGACCTTCTCTATCGCCTCGTCTAATTGTTGCTCGTCCACGATGAACTTTCGCGCATTGGTGTATAGATCGTGTAGGCGGGAGGCGCGGATTTCCTGTATCCGGGCTACTCGGCGCTGGTATGCTCGGCTCCGGGCCTTTGTGATGTCGAGCCGCGGGGGCAGGCTGTCGGTGAGGAAGTCGCGAATACCCTTGGCGACAGATGTCTCAGTCAGAATGTCGACTTCGCGACGGGGTGCCGTAGCCAATTCCCGCCTCTTCGCACCGATGGCCTGGATCTTGGCCATGTACTCGGCCTCTGATGTGACTTTCCGCTCGTGCAGCGCCTTGACACCCTCCTTCAAATTCTCTCTCCGCTTCTCTGCCAGCCTCTGCTTGTATAACCGGTAGTCGACATCCCGGCTGTATGGTCCGGGGGGCTTGACTTCTTTGGGCTCCTTGGTACTCCGGTCGAGGAAGATGTCCGACTCCTTTGGGTGCTTATTCCTCGTCTTGAAGACGTCTCTGGGGATGGGGAGGTGGCCCTTTACTGCGGGCTTGGCTGGGTACGTGGGCTGCAGTGGCTTCGGCACGTCGATGTAGTTTGGCGACTGCGGACCGAGGGCGAGAGCGGAAGGTGTGGAGGAGAAGGCACGCACACACAGACTGCTGCTCCAGCCATTGGTGGCTGCAGAGGGTCGGACGGGTATCCTGGGCGGCATTGCGGTGTTGCTGCCTCGTGCACTTGGATGCGGCGATGCGGAGGTGCTGCGCTGGTGTCGTCGCGCCTGCTTCGAAATTGTCGGCGCCAAGCCCCTTGGCCCCACTCTGGCTAGCTCCCGCCTCTCAAAAAAAGTTGCCCATGCCTCGCGATCTCTACTCTTCACTCTTCCCAACCCGCCAACACCACAGGAAGCAGTCGCCATGGGTGTCCAGAAGAAAGAGTACAACCGCAAGGAGCGCGAGGGCAAGACGGGCGATGGCATGGGAAATGTCAAGACCAAGGGCGCCAACTTCTACCGGTATGTCGCGCAGTCTCTTTGCGCCAGGGTCTTTCAGCACGGGTATACTGACAGTTCCGCAGTGATGCGAAGAAGGTCAAGCTCCTCAAGCGCCTCACAGGTGGCACAGCGGAGCGCAATGCCAAGGGAGACATCACCAAGGCCGCCGTCTACCAGAACCGCGCTGCACCTGTCGCCCGTGTCGAGCCCAACAGGAAGTGGTTCAACAACACGCGAGTGATATCGCAAGATGCCCTCGACAGCTTCCGCTCGGCTGTGGAGGCGCAGTCCTCGGACCCGACTACGTTCCTGATGAAGCGCAACAAGCTCCCCATGAGCTTGATCGAGACACCAGGACAAATCCCAGGCCTCAAGCAGCACGCAGCCAAGATCGCCGTTGGCAGCCAGCCTTTCTCAGAGACCTTCGGCCCCAAGGCTCAGCGGAAGCGCCCAAAGCTCGACTTCAGCTCCATTGAGGATCTGGCTGGTCGCACGGGAAGCATGCACGAGACCTACGTAGAACGCCTCGAGAACGCCAAGCTGCTGTCGGGCACGTCTGGCGAGACAGAGCAGAACGAGTCCTTCGCCGACAACCCCAACGGCGAGCTTACGTCTGCGCGCGAGTTCATCTTCATGAAGGGTACATCGAAGCGTATCTGGAACGAGCTGTACAAGGTAAGCTTACAAGCATCACCTCTCACAAGTCATGTCTAACATACCCCAGGTCATTGATTCCTCCGATGTCATTCTCCACGTCCTCGACGCCCGTGATCCTGATGGCACCCGTTGCCGTTCCGTCGAAAAATACATCCGCACCGAGGCACCCCACAAGCATCTGGTCTTTGTGCTCAACAAGGTCGATCTCGTTCCCTCCAAGGTTGCTGTAAGTTCACGCCCCTCTCTGCCCCCTACACCATACGCACCCTCCTTAAGTCAAGGACCTTTTCCTATTCCATGAATACGGTTCTGTTACAAGTTGGGAAGAGCAAAAGTGGCTCGCTGGCCTAAGATCGTCTTGATCGCGGGTCGATTGGTAACCGTCTTGGTTGCCGATCAATAGAGTCACGCGTGATTTGTTTGAGTTGAGGACCGTCTCTGCACTAGCAGCTTTATGGCGGTACTCTTAGTAATATTTCGCACATTCCGTCGTCGACGCATTTATATCATGTCAAGTCGATGACCACGCACTGACACTTGACAGGCTGCATGGGTTCGTCATCTCAGCAAAGAGTTCCCGACACTTGCTTTCCACGCCTCCATCAACAACAGTTTCGGTAAGGGTTCTTTGATCGCCCTTCTCCGCCAGTTCAGCTCTCTCCACAGCGACCGTAAACAGGTCTCCGTGGGTATGGTTGGCTACCCAAACACCGGTAAATCGTCCATCATCAACACTCTGCGCAAGAAGAAGGTGTGCGTCGTTGCGCCTATCGCCGGTGAAACCAAGGTCTGGCAATACATTACCCTGATGAAGCGCATCTACATGATCGACTGTCCTGGTATTGTACCACCAAACCAAAACGACACCGATACGGATCTGCTGCTCCGCGGTAGTGTACGTGTCGAGAACGTCGAGTACCCAGCACAATACATCGAAGAGGTTTTGAAGCGGGTGCAACCGCGACATCTCCAGCGAACTTATGATATCAAAGACTCAGACTACAAGGGCGATGCTGTCGCTTTCCTGGAGAACTTGTGCCGCAAGAGCGGTCGTCTCCTCAAGGGCGGTGAAGCTGATATCGACGGCGCTGCGAAGATGGTCTTGAACGACTGGATAAGAGGAAAGCTTCCCTGGTTCACTCCACCACCATACAAGGAGGGCGAGGAATCAGTCAGCGGACCCATCAACGCGAAGCGCGAAGGCAAGCTCGGTGAGATGAGCAAGAAGCGGAAGCGAGGCGGTGAGAGTGAGGCCGGTGAGAAGGCTGGTGCAAAACAAGATGAGTCCGACTACGATAGCGACTTTAGTGGTTTCAGTGACGAAGACGGCCTAGAACTGGATGGCGAGGGTGATGATGAGGAAGAGGTGTCGGATGACGACGAAGAAGGTGGCACAACACTCGAAGCCGCCGACGTTGATGAAGCAGCTGACGATGATGACAAAAGCGAAGACGATGAGGTGGTGGAGAAAGAGCTCGCTGCTATAACATCGGCGCTTTCCAAAGCGAAGAAGCGGCAAAAGACTACATGAGGTCAAAAGGATAGTTAGTTTATGATTCAAATGATACCCCGATATTACGATGTCTCAATCACTGAACAGTCTCTCGACGTCTTGGTGGTGCGACATGATTACAAAAAAATCTACGCTAAAACGGGCAATCCCTTTGTCACATAGTGGTCCAGATAGGCTCGCTGGTGGCTCGGTGACTGACGCAAAGGTGGAAGGATCACAAACGTGGGCACAACGTGGAAAACGTCCAGGATTTGGGGTTCTGGACATGGGTCATCATGCAGCCCGCTGCCTCGCCACCACGCTTCGCGGGTACCACCTGCCGTGCCCAGGTGCTGTGCTGACAACAGTTCGGTACAGGTTCGTCCGAACAATGAGGGGCACACGTGTGGTGCGACTGGACTATTACTCCGACAACTTGTCGCGACAATCATGAGGCAAGGCTGGTGTTCCCTATTTCTCAATCATTGCAACCCTCAATTTCCCTAGACTCAATCATGACCGCCGATCCAACCCCAAGCAAAGCTGCTCTCTCCCTCCTCGACAACATCGCTTCCCTCAGCACCGGCTTCAAAAACGGCGAAAGCGGCGCAAGAGAAGGCTTACTAGACGCATGCCGTAGCCTCATCGCAGAAGTCAGCCACCCATCCGAAAACATGCTAGACATACTCTGGGCCCAACCCACCCACCTAACCACGCTCTGGCTTGCCGTCGAAGTGCAACTCTTCCAAGCCATGCACTCCATCCCAGAAAACGGAGCCAGCAGCACAGAAATCGCAAGGAGATGCGACAAAAACGTCGACCCCGTCATCGTCGCACGCATGCTCCGCCACCTCGCCGCCATGGGCACAGTCCGCGAGACAGGACCCGATACCTTTGCTAATACACCCACGTCCATTGCTTTCGCCGAGAAAGCATACCAAGACTCTATTTTGTTTATTGCAGAAGATTTCCAGCCTGTGCATCACTCCATGAAATCTTACTTC